GGCCCTTACTTCTCTGGACTGGAGCAATACTTTTATGCAGGTTCAGTTCTACATTAGAAGTAGTTAGTTTCATATTACACTTCAGGGAACGAAAAATGATGTAACCTATTTGCTTGTTTTGTTTCCAGTCATTTTATCTGCACTAACTGCCGCGATGTTCATTTCAGAGCGTTGGATCCTGTAGTCCTACCTTCAGAAGCAAGCCAGGCTGTCAAGCAACGTCTTATAAATTTTACACAATCGTTATCAACGGTGCTGGCATTTGCCTATTGTTTGTCAAGGTGAGTACAGTTCTCTGCTCTTATTGTGTCTCAAAAATATTTATTTCATGATTCCATCGGTCAACTAATAGATTGGTCTCTGATGAATTGCATTTTGATATTTGTTTCTTCCAGAAGTAGTGAAGCAACTTCTTATATTAGTTAAAAGTAATTTGAACATTGAGAATGGCCAAAAGGCCTCGTTCAACAAGTTTAGTTCTTCTGCCAGGATGTAGTAATTTTGTTTGTTGGCATAGTTTTTTATTTTGCTGCTATGCTCTATACGCAGATGTGTCTGTGTGAGTGTTATTTTTATTTTTCCGGCACTGGCCTTTTTCTTTTGCCCACACTGGTCCTGTAATCACCGTGCTCGTTGATTGTGATGGCTCTGGTTGTGTGGTTTAAAGTTTGATTTTCTACAGCGATACTTTTTGTTTACAGCTTAATTCAACAAGTACAAAAGTTCTTCACGGAGACAAATGACACAAGAAATGTATGTTTTCTTACTTTCTCAGTAGGCAACTCCTGTAGTTACTTGTTTTAATGTTATGTTTTCATCAGTTCGTATGCATTCGTTTGCATTCATACTTTGTTTTGGCAAAAATTAACTTTCCTTTTCAATTTGCAGCACTGAGAAGGAAAATGTCATTAGTACCTATGCAAATCATAACAAAATGTTCCTCGCTATCATATACATTAGCTTCTTTTTACTTTTTTGTAATATATGTAGCATAGTTTTTCTTTTCCTGTCAAATTTCTGTTATTGTGTGATTTTGTAATAAATAATATAGTAATATAACTATCTTGGTGGCACTTATATCGCGTAAGATCATTTTTCTTTACAAAAATTGTCCCTTGCTTGGGCAGATGGGCTTCAGTTTCGCTGGAAAGGCTGTTTATTCTGCAGTTTGGGTTGCTGCGGTATCATTGTTCATGGAATTGCTGGGATTCTCAACCCAGAGATGGGTAACGGCTGGGGGTCTTGGCACAGTGTTGCTCACCCTTGCTGGTCGTGAGGTAGTGATCTTCTTCCCCTGACATTGTTAACCGAAACAGCTGCAGTTCATTGATCATAACTACAAATTCTTGATTATCTATGTTTATACTTTTGTTCAAATACTATTAAAAATAATAGTTTCTTTCAAGGTTTTTCTGATAGCGTTGACCTTAATACTCATTTTTTGACTCAGATATTCACAAACTTCCTTTCGAGTGTAATGATTCATGCCACACGCCCATTTGTTGCTAATGAATGGATTCAGACTAAGATTCAAGGTTACGAAGTTTCTGGTACTGTTGAGGTATGTATATGTCTTTGTTAATCCATCATATGAGAACTGTTAGGAGGAAAAACATAATGTATGTGCATAATACCTTTGATTGCTTCCACCTTAAACATAAGCGGGATTCAACAATTTAGTTCTTTCTGCAAAACAAATATTTGGAAGTGAATTTCTTATCTGCAATTTGGCCCTTTTATTTATTTTTTGATGAATTTGTTTTGTTTTACCAGCATTTGGGTTGGTGGTCCCCAACAATTATAAGGGGCGATGATCGTGAAGCAGTTCACATTCCAAATCACAAGTTCACTGTAACTGTTGTCCGGAATCTTAGCCAGAAAACTCATTGGCGAATCAAGACCCACCTCGCAGTCAGTCACTTGGATGTAAATAAAATTCATGTGAGTATTCATTTAGTTCACTGGTTTGTTACTCGTTCTCTGGAATATTGTTTCTTCTATCATGTCATACGATAACCTCGGTGGCATTGCTGTCTACAGACTATAGTAGCTGATATGCGTAAGGTTCTGGCAAAAAATCCTCAAGTAGAGCAGCAAAGGTTGCATAGAAGAGTTTTTCTGGATGATATTAATCCGGAAAACCAGGCTCTTATGGTGAGACTTTTATGCTGTCATTCGTTTGAAGTTACGAATTTTTTCAACTTTAAAAATACATGACGGAAACTTTTGGTCTTCCAATTCTTCACTTTCATTCCCAAGGTCTTCATAGAATAAATGGGAAAACTCATTTGATTTTCCAGTGGATCTTCAATCTATATATAATACGCTCCTCTCTTTTGTTTTTTTTTTTTTATCAACTTATTTATTTAATAATTGTTCTTATCTCAAGTTTATGTCTCATAAGCGTACAATTTTGTTACAGATTTTGGTGTCTTGCTTTGTTAAAACACCTCGTATTGAGGAGTATCTCTGCGTAAAGGTACGACTTTTTTATTGGTAGAAGCTTTAATAATTGTTCTTATTTTTTTAATACCAGACCATGGATGCGGATTGTATAATTCGTGTTGTTTGCTAATTCTGGTTTCCGAGTGCCTGTTGTCTGCCTGTACTTTGCAGTTGTTGTTTATGGATATCGCGCAATGCCTTTAAATCTTTCATTGTTAATTACAGGCTTTGAGAAAACCTTGAATGTCTATCTCATGGACTATATTGATGAAATAATACAGGAGGCAATACTTATGGATCTTCTTAGAGTTATTAGCCATCACCGTGCCCGGCTTGCCACACCCATCCGCACAGTCCAGAAATATTACAGTGAGGCCGACTTCGAAAATATGCCATTCGCTGACACCGTTTTCACTCATTCTAGGGCATCCACTAATCGTCCGCATCTACTTATTGAAACATCTGACAATATTAGTAGTGACGACAAGGGCAAGGCTTCAACTCACACAACCCGTACAAATGGGGAAAAACATTCTGAAGCGGCCTCAACATCTGACTCCAAGGGATCAAATACTAAAGCTGGGCCAGCAGTAACTCATGCACAAACTGACGACAAGGTTGTAGTGACTTCAAGTTCCAACTCAAGCACAACCTCTAAGGCTTCCGAAATGCCACCATCTGAACCCCAAACAAGGAATTCCGCTTCTGATGGTTCAGTTCGAAGTAACTCTGAGATGGTGCGGTCCAAGAACGAGAGTACAAAATATGCAGGGAAGGATACAACAGGGAGTTAATTCCAAGGATGCATCTCCACAAAAGGTGACGGCTAAGAAGCCCCCTGATGCTTCACCCGAGACTGGTAGCGAAAAAGCAGATGTTCCTTTGACCACTACGCAGGCAAAGGAAGATGGTGAGAAACCTGTTTCAGCACCATCAGCAGCTAGGCCTCCGTTAGAAGAGAATATTATCCTTGGTGTTGCTTTGGAGGGCTCAAGGCGAACGCTTCCAATTGAGGAAGATACCACTCCATCTCCTACTGCAGGATCAAAAGAGTTCAGCGGCAGCCGTAATGGTAGCGGGTCTCCTTCCGGTGGCACGGATGTGAAGGATGGTTGAATGGTTGTGGCTATGCAGAGCCATGGCAATGAATAGCAGAACCGAGGAGGCTACGATGTCATATCCTAAAGAAGTTATTGAAAGTGTAAAAAAATTGTGCGCCGCTGAGTTTTTGAAGGTGGCATTACATGGGAGAAACTGGTCGTTTCTCCCATCACTGTAATGAATAGCTCAAAGGAATGAAGAAAAAAGGTAAATTAATAAACACTTGGGGACGTTTGTTAATTATTTTGTTTTCAGTTTTTTCTTTTAACGTTTTGTTAAAATGAAAACTTAAAACTTGTCTGGTAAGTGAACCAGCACTTAAACTAAAAATGAAAAGAACCAGCTTTCAAAGTAAAATTTGTGCAAGTCACGTGTCTTTTCATTTAACTTTGGTAAATTTTTTTATTTTTTAAAATTAAAAAAATAATATTTAATATAAAAGTTAACTAGAATTGGATGAAAAGATACATGGCAGATGATTAGATGTAGGGTGAGCATATATCATAGTTATTGTGGTGAGCAAAACTGCATGAGAGCATTTTTGCTTGTCACCATAAACTATAGTGTATGCTCATCATACATCTAATCATCTGTCACATATCATTTCACTTAACCTTGGTTACAAAGGGACGAAAAATGTCACACTTGACATTAAATTTGGTGTCCAAGTAAGAGAAACGCGTACGCTATCTTAGGCCTACATTAATAATATATTTCTCTAAGGAGTGTAATGCTATCTTAGGCCTACATTAATAATATATTTCTCTAAGGAGTGTAATGCTAGTACATCTTTTTTGTATTTTATGCCCAATGATGATAATCAGGCTGCGTGCCTTTTTCACATTTAGGTTTAGATAATTTGTGCTATGTGCATTCTCCATTTTATTAATTTTTACTAGCAATTGTACACATGCTATGCCTGTACTTCTTAAAAATTTGAAAACAAAAATTATAAAGATAAAATAAATAAAATGATCGCTAAAACTTTTTGGTGACGACTTTCAATGATCTTTCGTCATTGAAGTTGCCATTCCTATTTTTAGATGACTATTTCGTGATAGAAGGTTTATTTTATTTGAGAAAAAAACACGCTGGGAAAATGGAGGCAACTTACGTGTTACTTGACTGTAAGGCTTTGAAAAAAAAGTTAGTAAAATATTTTTGTGTTTAATTTACTATAACCATTACTTTTATTTTATTTATTTTTCTTTAGTGTTGTTAGCGTTAACCTAGTTTGGAAAAAGGAAAAAATTGGCTGGACTTGGCCCTGAGTCCGAGAAGGCCCGATCCGTAGGCCCATTTTACATACCCAGTGCCCAAATTAATTTAACTTTGGGTCCTGACCCAATTTAATTTATAGCCGTTGTACAACCACAAGCCCCAACCAAATTCAACTCTCTCTCTCTCTTCGCGCGCTCGCGCTCGCTCCCTCTCTCTCTCTCTGAATTCTCAGTCCGACCCTCTCTTAGCTCTGCTCCATCATCTCTCTCTCGATCACTACTGTTTGATAACGACGGTGCGACTTTGGCGGAGGCCGTCGCCGTGGCCGTTATCAGCGAGCAGCCTCCTCTCGTTTGTCGTTTGTGGAGGTATATATCTCTTTCTCCTTGTTCTCTCGATTTCTTGATGGAATATTTTGTTCAATAGTTCGATGTGTTGGATTTTTTTGATTTGTTAAATTTGTTTAATTTGTCCGAGTTTTCCCTAACCTCTGAATTTTGCCCTAATCTCTGAATTTTGCTCTAATTTGTGAATTTTGATATGGAACATAATTTTCCGGCCGCCGATCCTTATTCGGAATTTCTAAGAAATGTGCATAACATTGTCAGGGAGTCGGTGGCGAGTAATAAGAGTCTTTTTCTTGACATTTTTGCTGTAAACGATGTCAGGGAAGAAGTTGAGAGGTTCAAGAGAACCCCTTTTGCACAGAAGGCGGAGAGGGACCAAAATGTAAAAATCCTTATGTCTTTCCGCTGATTGTTCTTTTCTTCTTATATATCTAATTTTTGTTTAATTAAAGGTGTCTTGGAGGAATGGTTGGCCAATTTCCACCACATGGTTTAATATGGTTTTCTTATTGGTTTAGTCACACACACACATATGCACATATATTGTCTAGGTCCTGTTCTTTGATTTGGTATGTCCACTTGTCACTAGGTTTCCGGTTTTTCTTTGTCCCTTTGCAGCATTGTTGTGTGCGTGCACATGTTTCTAAAATTTGCTCATCATTTTTATTTCAAGGTTTTGTCGAGTTCATGTATCTAGTCTACTGCTTGCTTGGTCTCTGTACGTGTGAGTTAATTTGAGGAGGAAGGGGAGGGGCGGGGGTGTTTCTAAATAGAGCCGGGAGGCTTGAAGTTCATTTTTGTTTTGTGGCATTTAATTGTTAATTTGTTAGCGATAGGGTGCCTGCAGTCTCCATCTTTTAAGCAACGTACGTGGGCCGATAGGTCCAATTTCTTCCAGATACAAAGTTTTCTTCTGCAGATCTGTTTTAGGTCCAAGTGGAGGAAACAGGGTTCCTGTGCTAAAATCTGATGGTCTGGTTTTAACAAGGTACGTATACGTGTTCCCATTTGAATCAGTTCCCTTTTTGTTTTTATTAGAAAACTGCACCGCACAAGCATATAAGGTGATATATATGTTCTCAGTTCCGTTTTTGCTGTAAATGTACAAAGATCAGCCAAAAACATTCTTATCTTGTACTGATATCAGTCCCATTTTGCCCAAACCACTTATCGGCCAGGTAATCAGTGTTCCCTCTCTATTTAATATTCATTCTTACAAGTTTATTTTAATTTTATGTGTACTTTGCGTTGTGAATGGTAATATTGTATACATCAATCACAAGAAGGTTGACTTCATTTTTACTTTTTCGTAATTGGTTTCATTGTGAAGTTTTAAATTTCCTTTGACATCCAATCTCCCCTCAACAGTTTTGGGTTTGTCTGTTAAGTTAAGCTCAAGGGAAGGACATCCGGCGAAAAAGGTGGTCTTTACCTTTGGACTTACTCAAGTGTTGTAATTCTTTTAATTCTCTTTGTAGATTGATGCTGTTTTGTGTAGTTTACAAGTGGGAATATTTAATGACAGTTGTTTTTGGGATATATAGGTGAGACCATCAATGCAAGGAGTGTACTATGTAGGGGATCAGGACGATGGGTTCACACGGTTTGAGTTCTCAACTACAGCCAGCGGGGGTTCCGGCACACCATCCACAGAGACCAGTCCCCAATCCGCTCTTAGACCACCACCTACCACGAGTAATCAGTCCCCATCTTCCCAAGTGAGTGTTTTGATTCAGTTTCCAATATGTGGTTTCTGCACATGAGCGAATAAATATGTAACGTAAACGTGCTCTACCATAACTGATAAGGTGATATGTGTTGCCTGCTAAGGCTGTTCTGATTGGTTTTATTAATATTGATGAAGTTAGTGTTTTAATTTCAACATACTGTTAGTGCTTGCATCTTCTCCAATTGTCCGTCCGTTTGGTTCATATGAATGCCTGGACATTCTACATTTTAGGGAAGCAAAGAAATGATTGGCGTCGCACTGTTAGGTTCGTTGTCCCTCAAAGGATTTGATGATGAAGATTTACAAATATATTTTAGTGTTGTTTCTTGTTCTTCAGTATTGTACAAGATGAATATGCCTGGTTTTGGTGCCATTTATTTTTATATGTTACGATTTCAGTTTACATTCTTCATCCTCTAAACTCACAACATAAACAGAAAGAAATGGTATTGTAAGGAATATTTGACACAATTTGTTATTGTTAAGATCAATTTCGTATAATTAACCGTTATAGTTATCGTTTTCCTGATCTCGTTGAAATAAAAATATGTAAAACACGTGTACCGCCCTTTGATTAAAGTACACCTTAATACATCACGCACAAGGCTCCATTTTGCAATCGCATGAGCATGTGCAGAAAGGCTAGTTCTAAATTACTCTTAAGCCAAAAAACTCACTGTATTGAAATGGAAGAGTCTGTCGGAGTCATGGTATGCAAGGCGATTTCGTCACTGGATCTCTCTTCTGCTGGTGAGAAACAATGGTTGCCCATCGACACATAAGAAGCAGAATGTACAATATAATTAGGTCAAATGAAGCCTATACAAAAATGGGATTGGATAACTCCAACACATTAATTGATTTCAATTATGATTGACACATGCAATCAGGAGCAGGGTATGTATAGATCGACTGCTTCTCCTTTCTCAGCCTCATCTGCCCCTGTCTAGTTTTGTGTCCATCCAAAACCGCGCGTTGGAAATCAGACCATTCCATGCTCTTATTCACGAAAAGCTTGCCCAACAATGCCATGTTTGGTCTAATAGTCTTCAAGTTCATATAAGCCCGGTGACCCACCTGATGATACAAGTTTAATCCTGTCAGTTCAGAATTTCATATACATTGTTAAGGAAACAATTCTTCTCTAGTGACACTGATTTTATAATAGGGCAAAAACATGCTATTTACAACAGGCAGAATTGATGACGTGATAATCGGAACTATTCCCCCGCCATCTTAAAGAAGACAAATATTTACCAAATATTGAACTTGATATGCTTACCAGTGCATTGTGCATATTTCCGGGAGAAGCAGAAATGAAGATGTCGCTTTGCATGCTCACATAATAGTCAACTGCGGCTAACAAAGAAGCCTTGCCTTCAACTTTGGCCCTTTCCTCTGCAGAGGCAAGGCTCTTCTTGTCATCCATGTCTGGAAATATTCTTCTCAAAGTCGAGATCCTTGCTTCTCCACCGTAAACCTAAAAAAAGGAACATACAATTGTTTCTCCAATTTCAAACCATAATGAAGACATGATGTCAGCATTTTGTGAGAAGGAACCTAAGGAATCGCATGAGATGCTTGTGGTTCGTTTGTCAACATTTTCGATTTGTTTCTATTGAAGAGAGAGGGAAATGAAAATGACTGAGGCGAAGAGAAGGAGAATATCTAAACAAAACTTTTCTGAGTAGTATTTTGTAACCATTCTATGTTTTTTTATCTTTATAGAGTTATTTTAATTTTTTTTAAATAAAAACAAAAACATCAACAAACGATGCCCTTGCCATTAGCCCCCCTAAATAACAGCATAGACATTCTGCTTTAAGACAAACCTTGTGAGAAGCAAGATAGAGTCGGGTCGTATTGTTGAAGCCCAAAGCGGCCAGCAGCAATCCAATCTCTTCAGGAGTTAACGGGCAACGCCCCTGATTTCTTAACTCCTCGTCTGTGAACTGAGATTTTAGGACCCTACCCTGCCAGATTACTTGCCGATATTTTGCAAGGGCGAGTTTCTCAGCTTTACCACCACCAAAATCACAGGCTGAATGGGCAGCCATATCCTGTGTGTATGTGCATGCAAAGAAGATATTAGGAAATACTAATCCTGCAGATGTAATTAAGATTCTTAGGACAAGCTTTAAGATTCTTCAAAAATTATTTTGGGCAACATATATTTCATAAAACTTATATCAGCCCAAAGACTCCGAAACGATTACATAATCAAACATGCCAAGGATCTAAAGCTAATTAAGAACATACTTTATCAAAGCGAAGATGCAAAACAACATATTTCCCAGCTCCCTGTTTCTCGATTTCATTTGCTTTGTCCTGCGAGCCAGTACCTGCCTTGTGGCTTCTATTGGGATAGCGGAGACGATTAACAAGGGTTTCTCCCAATTCCCGGATATGAGGAACAAAGGCTAAAGCTTCAAAGTTGACTTTACAACGTAGGCGCTGTATGTTTTGAGGCAAGTTTTCAAAAGCCAAACGATGAGAAAATGGGGAGATAGCAGCAACTCCATATCTGTGGCAGTGAAACACCTTTTAAGTCATGAAAAGATATTTGTTTAAAAATTAGGTCCTAAAAAGCAACCTATTGTAGTGAAACATATGCATGCACTTCAGATTGGTAGCTCAAGTTGTGCCCAGAAAAGATACTCTAACATAATACCAAAGGATATTCCTGGCTTACAGTTAGACCTAGAAAACCGTACTCTTTCCGTCCACAAATGACTGTCTTGAAGTAGTTCCTTCATCTTTCTTGCCTTGGAGCAGCAAGAAGTACACGGTAATCAATTTCTGTAATTTAATATACCTTCCCTTCGAGATCTCTTCTGAAGGTGCAAACATGTATAATGAATAGAAGTGAATTCCGCTTATGGTATTGAAATTTTTAAAACATTGGCTCGATCCCTCCATGGTTATTTTATTGAAATCCCAAGATATAATAAAACTTGAAAACCCGATGCCTTGACGTGCAGAGACAGAAGTATTTCTGTGGTGCACTACTAAGTTCTAAATATATATGATACACATTAACCAAACAACCAATTTCCCAAAGTTATGTCCCTAACATCATAATATTACTAAGCCAAAACTTTCCTTGTCACAACAACTTCTTTCTGCTATTTACCCCAGTAAAGAGATGACAACTTATGTCCAAGTTTATAACACAAGCTATCACGATCAAAACTTCAAGGATCGTACACAGCATGATCCAATACAAGATGGAATCTAAACTTTAGGACCTACAACATATATGATACGGACAATGGTATACGAAACAACTTTGCTCTCAATAAAGGGTCAAAGCATTTACTGACCTCTGCAATATGGGCAGGACGTTTTCCAGATACCAATCAGAAGAAGCATGAACAGGTGCTGTTTTTATTCTAGTAATCCGTATCCCAGTAGCATAATACTCCCTAGTGCTCCAAGAAAATTCAATAGGAACGACTTTAACTATAGAAACTTCACCCTGTAGGGCTTCAATAAAGTGATCCACATCAAAAATTTCCTCAAAGGAACTGCAAAAGCACAAGGAGTTTCACATCAATGGCTCCCCTTTGGATAAAAATAATAATTTCTAGGGACGGTTCCAGGTTAGCGTACCCACTATATACCTCGAATCTTGCCACACAGGATTAACTTCAAGGTGTGGAATAACCAAAGTGGCATTCAAAATTTTAGCAACAGCAACTGCATCACAAATCTTTTTTAAGAAAAAAAAAAACCAAATAAATTAAATTAGATAATCTCATTTTGTACACCCATCTGACTATAGAATTACATGTAATAGCAAGACTTTCCTCATAAACTTATTAAAACTCACCCCCATTTTCTGCTGGTTCAAGCCTCCATCAAGGAACACCTGAATATACCCAGTAGATTCTTTTGGCAACGCTGCAAGAAAATGAACGGTAGTACATCAGATAACAATCAATACAATGTAACATATAATATGGCCTTATCTTAATACTCACATGATAAACTTCTAGGCTCTTCAGGACAATGCTTCCATCTTTGGTCGGGCAATGGAGCCCAAAGCTTGCTCTGTTGATCCACAGACTACACAAATTCAAAACCAATATGCAAATACATGTAATCAGATCAACTGTTTATAAGCAAACACCAAATCAAAGGCACAAAAAAAAAAAAAAAGGAAAAGGAACTGACAGATTGAAGAAGCAAAGCCGGACTTAGAAGGCGCGAATGCCGGGGTTGCGGGGCATTCCACTCCTGCAGAAAAAACCCATTTCAGTTTAATAATTATTCAACAAAATCACGCATTTCCATTAACAAAAACTTCAAACCTGTGGGAGTGGTTTGCTGGGAAGGAACTTACCGAGAAGATTGAAGGAGAGGCGTGGCCCAATGGGCCAAAGAGGTTTGGCAGGAAGGCCGGAAAGAGGACCACCAAAAGTCCGGCTAAAGCGGCTTTCTGAGACTGGTTGGCGTAGTAGTAGCCATAGTAGTCTTTGTGAAGCTTCATGGGTTGGTTTGATATTGATCGAAGACCTAAAGTTTCACCATTGATTGCGGATTTTGGTTGAGGGGCAAGGTAGGGCGGTGGCGAAGCTCACCGTCGTCAACGAGCAGGACTGTGAATCGGATCTAATTTTAACGCGATAAAACTGAGAAGGGAAGGTGTATTAAGGCTTACGGTTTGATTAAGCGGAATCCGGATCTTGTTCGTGATTATCTCGGAACCTACATGTCCAATATGGTACGATTATAAATTATTTTAAATATTTTTATTTAAAATTAAATACATGACTTTTTTGACAGTTCAAATTGTACTAATTATTTCACTCGAATAAGATAATCTATCATCAGATTGTACTAACTAAATTGATCAGACGTATAATGCAATATCATACTAATAATCGTATTATTTATAATATATTTGATACCTATATTATTTTTACTAAAAAAAATTTGATGACTAACGTAAAAAAGGGGATGTTTTTTGATAAAAATTTCACAACAACCAAATGCATCAAATTTAAACCAAATTATAAATAAATAAAAAAACAAATAAAAAATCCTTTCTTCCCCAAATCTTCTCCACCGCACAGCCCCCAGACACCCTCACTCCCTTCTCCTTCAAGCAAATCTTCCCCCTCTATACATAAGAAGCGGATTGTCGGTGCTGGCATCGATGGATTTGCTAGGCTTACAGAAGAAAAGAGATGGAGGCAAAGGCCTATAGAACGTGAGAGCTCTCCGGAGTTGATGATGTAAATTGGAGATTCCTAGTGATTCTATAATACCTGATTTCCCAAATTTAATCCACAATTTTATTTTCAATTTATGGAGAGGTTACATTCGATTGCCGATATCGTCGGACGGTGACGCAGCGATGTTGGGCAGTAGGTGAGTGCAGGCAATTCTAGTGCTCCGATGACGTGGGTTTCAGTCGGATCTAGCTCAAATCCAGGATCGATGGCACGCGAAACTGCGCGGATCCCGCGACGAGGAACTGAAGTGAGTTTGCAGAACGATGCGAGAGCATAGGGTTGGACAACATCATTGTGGAGTCCGACTCTAAGGAGAATATCCTTTGTTTATCTCAGGGTTATTCGAGGGGCAGCTGGGAGGCCTTCCCCGATATCTCGAAAGCGTTGCGTATTGGGGGGACCTTTTAGGATTGTCGCTGGTCTTGGGTTCCGAGATCGGCCAATTTGGCGGCGCATGTTTTGGCGTCGAGAAGTAACCTGGAGATGTGCGGTGTAAATTGGGTAAACCTCCCTCCATCTTCGCTGGTCCATGTTCTTAACAAGGATGGGTTACCATGCCCTCATTAATTTGTATTTTGGCCGGGGCGGGGGAGACCGTATTTTTGGTATGGGTCTGCTATGTTGATCCCCCTCCTTTGCTTTTGATTGTGGTTGCCTGTGTGGCTTGCTCTGGTTGAGCTTCTGTTGTATTGTGGCTTCGGTCGGGTTTAATGGAAGCAGGTTTTCAAAAAAAAAAAAAAAAAAAGTAGCGAGGACATACACCGTATAAAAGATGTGGGCCCAGTTTAAGTAATACGGGTACTATTTAGGACATGGTTGCACCAAACACTAGAGTCTGTATTACTTATCATATCCAATTCCTTATACGATCTGCCAAACGAGGTCAAACAGTATTTGACAAAAACTGATCGCACGATGTACGATGAGTGGATACGATTCATGGATCCCCAGGACCCTCACCAAAAGGATCATGTTGGGATTAAGTGCGTGTGAATTTTTTTTTATTTTTTTGACAAAGGATAGAAATGTATTAATAATCAAATACGAATGGAAACATTTGCATCTTCTACTAGAACATTAAACAAAAATTTAGGTCCTAATTCATCCCAACCAAAACTCCCGCCATACTTGAGAACGTGTGCCGCCACCATATGGGCTGCATGATTGCATTGTCGAGGGGTAAATATAAACTTCGCTGATTGGAATTACTACATCATATTCCAAATATCAACTAAATAGACCTTCATCAACACATCAGCTTGAATCTCCTTATTTAACATTTGAACCAAACCTTTTGAATCAAACTCCACCACCAATGCCTCCCCGGACGCATGAAATCCCCTTAAAACACACATCTCCAGACCCTGTCTTATGGTTGCCGCCTCAACCGTATTTGACGACAAGAAATACTCCCCACCATTTCCTCCCTTCATCTTTGGAAATCCTGCAAAGTCATGCAAGACCCAACCCACGCCACCTGCCTTTGTTTCCTTCTGCCATGCCGCATCAGTATTTAATTTAAACCTGCCAAATTCAGGTTTCCTCCATCCCTTTGCACTGACCTCAACCTGGGAAACATCCTTCACCGTTTCCTGCCGTCCACTTCTAGCCCCCTCCCCATGCTCCATGTCCATTGCCGCTTGAAACTCGGATACTTGATGTAACCACAACTCAACTGCAATACGAGGCATGATATGATCAATGAAGGTCTTGTTTTTAAAATTGAAGAAGAGAGAGAATGTGCGAGTCGGGAGAGAGGGAGCGGTTTGCTTTTTATTTTTTAAAATTAGAGATGATAAAATCACATGTAAGTAAGGCTTAAACAAAAAGCGGTTTGTTTTATGAAATTACATTATTATTTTTAATTTTTTTGTTGGGATAGAAGACAAAAATGTCTAGGGTCATTAATATGTAATTTAGATTATCAATATAATGGGCATGTTTAGGGGTGGTCCGGGTCGGGATCCCGAACCGAAACTCCCAAGAATTCCAAACCAAAATATTTCGGGATAGATTTTATATCCTGAAACCGAACCAAACACTCAAGATTCCGAATTTCGGGTTGCTCGAATTTTTTGGGGATTTTGGGGTCACTTCGGAATTGAACCTTGAAGCCCAAAGTGTTGGGCTTTTTAAATTTTTTGGATTTTTAAATTTTTTATACACTCAGCCCTACCTGTTTCACTAATTGCATAGCCTACTCCACACAATAAACAATAAGCTCAAGTTTATATCAAAGTTCATACCAAAAATTGTACAAAACCAATTACACAGCCCACCTGTTTCTAAGTTCATATCAAAGTTCATAATCTCATAAATTCATACGAAGCAAAACGTTAAGCTTATGTTCAAGCCACCAATGTTCACAGTCGTCTATCAAACTACTTAATTAAAAGTGTATACAACCAAAATGGAATAAGTTACTTTTGAGATTTATATCTATCTGCTACACAAATCTCAAAAATTAAATTCATTTGACGTGGTGGCATCACCATCACTTGATGGTGATGAGTAAAAAATATTCATTTATTTTAATTTTGGGTAATAATAAGGAGACTACAATTTTAAAATAAATTTTATAAATTAAATGATGTTGATAATGATTAAATTATTAATTAAGTATTCATTGGTGTTCTTATTCTTCATTGATAAGAAATCATTTTTCATAAAAAGTCTTGACCAACCCTGAAAATCCAAAAAGAAAAACGAAAAGAGAAGGAAGTTGTCCCTGATTGGTTAACTACAAATTTAAAGCAACACGCTTCATCGTGGAAAAACCCCCTCGTCTTCAGACTCTGCTTTCTCTCTCCGATTTGACCCAGTTTCACAACCCCGTCTATGCTCACTCGCTGAGTCAATTTGACTCGCCCGAGTTTGCACTCCAAACCCGTTACCTTCGCGATGAAGACTAGCGGCCTCGAAGTCTTCGACTTCAGCGAGGAGGACGAGCACTCGGAATCGGTCCAGGGGAAGTATTTGGGGAAGCTCAAAAACCCTAGCCTCGATGCCAATCGGATTTTCAAGTACGATTTTCTCCAGAATGGTACGTTTGCTTTCCGTAATGTCTAAAATTAGTAAGCTACATTTCTGTGTCTGGTTGCCGAGAATCCGTGGGAAAATAATCTGGTGTGAAATGAATGAAGTTCAATAATTTTGTCTGAATTTTTATGTTAATGCTTCGAATTACAACTATGGAACTTGCTGCTATGATAATCCATCGTTTGGAAATTGTTACTTAGTAAGGTTTGAGCCACGATGGAAATTTGACCTGTTTGGATTCGATCTTTGTCGATAGGCTAATAGTTTTGTAGCATTAAGAAGTGTTTTTTTTGAGTTTCTGGTTAATTATTCTCACAGGTTTATTTGTGCTAAAATGTTGGGATATGTATACAATTTACTATCTCATACTTAAAATCATCTTCATATGAATGTTGAAAATTTTGATAATATGGTGGTTGATTTCTGAGTTAACCGCATTGTTTAATCTGTAAGTTAAGGTTGATCATATCGTAGAAAGGGGTAGAGATTGTTTGGCGAAGTTGGATGTATGTTTGAAAGAACTAGGTAATTACAGATGGATCTCCCTGTAATCCTAGTATCATATATGGTAACGTTTGAGAGTTAGGGCTGGCTTGGCATTGCTGAAATTATTTTAAAAACAGCTTTTTAAAAATCTGGGGCTAAAATTGTGTTTGGTAAATGAAAAAAAAAAAAAAGTGCTTTTTGTCAAAATCAAACAGCAGAAAGGAAAAGCAGCTCTACCCCTGCTTCTGAAAACAGCTTTCTATTGCACAGCACAGCAACCCAAACTAGCTTAGTAATCAGTTTGCATGCAATAGGCTATTTACGGTTGTGTACTTTCATAATGTGGTAAGTAAGTAACATTGTTGTCAGGTCCGTCTGTATGTCAAATCTGCATTCCAGTCCCTTGTTTACAATGGTTTCTCACGTTTTTTGTAAATGCTGATTTATGTGTTGATTCTTCGAGTTTTGCTTGATGTAATAATCAAGCCACTAATCTTCTGACATCTGTCAGTCAACACTCCCCCTCAATCTCAACTGGGGAATCCCAGTTTGAGATTGGAAGAGTGTTTAGAAAATACGGGACTACTGAACCCCTTTTGAACAAAATGTCTGCAACTTGTCATCAGTTGGATTGTAGTGCACATTTGTATCTCCCTAAAGCACCGTTTAACGAACAAAGTGGTTGTCAGTAGCAAGATGTTTACCCTGAGTCTTGTTGATATGCTGTTGTCAGTGTTTATTTTTCTTTTTCTCTGTTAGCTGAAAACTAAAGATGGTTGATCTATATCATCAGTGTCTTTGTTTAAACTATGCTAATTCATCTAAATATTTTTCTAGTTGCCCAGGGAGCCAAACTTCAAACAAAAGATATCAGCAGCATCCCTTGCGTAAATGATGATTCAGTTGACCGTGATCATTGTTGTGATAATGCTATTCACATTCCCCCGTGGGAACAATTGAAGAGAGCCTTGCTACCGAGAAAGAGTATATGGAATTGGATGCTGCACCACAATTCAAATGTTTGAGTCATGAACAACAATCTGATTCCAAATTAGATAGTCATGGATCCAGAAGTTTTGTTTCTGAGCCAGAGAGAAGAGGTTCAAATGCTACGTCATCATCGTCTTGGGAAAGCCAGTTACACTTTGCCCTTGCAGTGCCTCCGTCCAGTGTATGTCAACTGTCATTTATCTGCTGAAGTATATCCTTAAAGGAGAGATTAACAATCAAAATTATGCTTTCTAAATTTTGTTGTTGTGTTCTTTTTTTCAGAATGAGCCAACTGATATGATTTTAGATGCTGATGAAAGCACGAGTGACTCTCCGTCAAGTCCTGCTTCTGAAATTGAAGATGATGACGGTATTTCCTTGTTAATTGGAGGATTGCTAATCCTTAGTTTGTGCCTTCCTTAGGCATTTCTGTCATGCACCAAGGTGTTCTTACTATCATATGTTGTTCACTTTCAGATTCTTTGGATACTTATAAATCGTATCATTGCTCTGGTGATTTGGAAGTGGTAATCTCTTTTCTCTTTTATTAGTGGTCCAATACATGTGTGATTGCTTCTGACATAACTACATATTTGGGGTTGTAAAAACAGAAAAATAGAGAAGTATTTTATTTTTGTTGATGTTTAAAGAAAATAATTGTCAAGAAAGAAAGTGGGGTTGTCTGTGTGATTTTCTAAATAGTGTAATGGGTAGTTTAGGTGGGTATTGGGTACTTTTTATTTTCATGTCACAAATACAAAGAATAATTTTGTGAGGTAACACAGAAGTAAGACTGAAGTATGCACCGTCAAAACATGTTTTGGTGACACTATCTATGCTTTGAATAAGTGTATGCAACAAAATAAATAAGAAAAAACAAAATAGGCCTAATCAGATAAATGGTCCCTGTGGTCATAAGGTATTCGAAAGATAGCCCCTATGGTAAAAAAATTCGGATGTAAACCCTGTGGTCTAAGTCTGTTAGGATTTATACCCAAAATTAAAACTTCCGTCATTCCTCCGTTAGTAGCACGTGAGTCTCATATGTGAGGATAAGATGGTCATGTCATAGTTAGTAGCATGCCAATAGCTTACCTAAAACCTCATGACGTTCCCAATTCTAAAGCACAAACAAAATTCCCAAATCTTGCTGCCACTGGGACTTCAGGTTTTGGGATTTCAACCAATCCCACTTCCATTTTGACAGAACCCATTGCCGCATTCTCAGAGTTTGGTTCTCTGTCAGCGTTGGATTTGGTCTAACCTCTCCGTCTCCCTCCTCCTTATATGGGAGCTCAGTAGAATTCTTAATCTCTTCCATGGAGACTTCTTCGTCAACTTGGCAGCAGGATTTTTTGTTCTTTCTTAGTCCTTACCTTTTATACATTTGGTGCTTCTTGGGTTTTTGGTTTTTGATTATTTTGATTGCAAGCAGTTTGAGCATTATCCTACCAAATGTGCAGAAGCATTAGAAATACTGCAGATTTTAATCAGTCAAATTTTGGGAAAAATCAAATCCTCCGCATAGAACTGCAACAAAGTTCACAAAGTGTTCATTGCAAAAACAGTAGAAAGGAGATTGAAAGAGTTAATTTGTTTGCAAAATTGAATGCTGATTTGTATTTGGGGATTGTGCCATGAGCAAGATGAGAAAGATGAGATTGGGAACCAAGGAGACAGAGGAGAAAGAGCGAGAGAGAGAAGAGGAAAAGATTGAGAGAAGCGGCGACCATTGATGGTACTAGAGTTCACGTTATTGATCAGTAAAAGATGTAGGGGTGTAGTTTATCAGCAATGCTAGGATGCTTTTTTTGTTAGTCGACATGAAAATACAATTCTATCAACATTTAACAGAAACTTTACTTCTAGGCTAAATTTGCTAACGGTGTTGACCACAGGGGTTTAATTCCTAATTTTTTTACCACAGGGGTCATCACGCAAGTATCCTATGACCACGAGGATGATTAATCCAATTTGGCCAAAAAAATATCTTCTTCATGTGCACAATGTTACTTGCCTTCTAAATAAGTGTTATGTACCATTTTTATTTTTGGTGCAGATTTTTTAATACTTTGTTAATCCACTATTAGAAGGTTTTTTTAGCTGTGACTTTTATACTGTTGCATAATTTGCAGGATAATACAAATATGACGGTTGTTCTTTATCCTGATTATGTTATATATCGGGATAGTTATTGTACAGAACCTCGGTTGACCTTTTCTCCCAGTTGCTTCAAAGTCAGTGGTTCAACATCTGAATGCCCTGGAACCTTTAGTTCTGAATGGGAAGTCGATGATCTTATTGATGTAGAGTGTCAGTGGTTTCAAAAAGTGAGTCCTGAAACTCTCCTATTGGATGTCACCATTTACCATTTATACTCTGTATTGAATACGTACAGTTTATTGTACTGCATTCAGGTTGAATTTGTCATGATAAAACTTCGTGTTGTAGCAAAGGATGCCACTGAAGATGATAGTGCACCCAATACTTCTGGTCAGTGCACTTTTACTAACAAGCTTTTTTCTCTTTGTTGGTTTTTGCATTCATTTGGTGGGATTAGTGCTGCAAGTGTATTTTTAGGGGACTTCTCTTTCATGAAATTCTACCAGATTTTTTACGTGTAGATTATTTAACTTGCTGTTCACTTGTTGAAACTAATGTGATCCTTCTGAAAAAGTTTGGTCAATTTTCACTCTGGTTCTATACAAGCTCTCAGATCTCATTCTATGATGTTTAAGCTATGAAGTGAGGACACTGATAAATAGGGTTTAGGGTTACATGTTGTGTATACATTATATAGTCTTATGGCGAGGACACAATGTAAGCATACTATATGTGACTTTAAAAATATTTGTGACTTAAGTGTTATAATTAAGATGGACTAGTACTTTGTAATCCAAGTATTAATGATGCACCTTCAAGTACTGCAGATTAGTTTTAGCAAGTAGTATGTATCATATGGGAAAATGTGCTTCTTTGTAATTCAGAAAAGAAAAGAAAGTTCTTGATTTTTAGTCTTGTTCTTGAACACAGTGTGGTTTAAATTCTGTCCAAACTTGTTAGTGTTGTGTCTTAATAGTTTTATTTTCTTTTTGGGACTTGAAGCTCTTAAGCTGAGTGTGGCTCCTCTCTTTTTTTGACATTATCTGCTATCAAAACTTCTCCTAGGCATTGAAGAGTTGAAGATTGCAATTGTTGAACCCAACTGGTTCAAGCAACAGGAAAGGATAATGTCTTTGAATGCGAAATATATCAATTCATGGGTTTTGCATGAGTAAGTTTGTTTATGTTGCATTGGCTAATACAATAATATAATTCATATTTCTTTATGTTCTAAGCTTTATGCCAAGTAGCTACGTAATTTGATGGCGTATACTCTGATAATACCGGTTCTTTTTTCATCTACTTACGTGGTTAAGACTAATTGTATTTGAATTGAACTTTGGAAATGACAGCATGTTTCTTTTTGGTAACATGTTTCCTTTTTCTCTTTTGTGTAGAAAGGCAATATTTGATAATTTTGTAAAAGGAACAGGATATTCTGCTGATTTTTACTTGAGATAGACGAGGATATTATGTGTTTAGTAGTCTTAGTTTCAGGCTTTCCGTTCTGCACAGATGTTTGATTACTGTACCTTAATACGTTCAATATGCTTTTAATAGTCTTAACTAGATTTAAAGTTCCATATTTTCTCTTTACTCTCAGTTTATACCAACATTGACAAAAGTATAGCCACCAACATACTCAAATTGGAGACAGCTTATCTAAAACAATATCCAAGATATGGTCAATGTAATATGATTTAAGATTTACGCTTTGTCAGTACAATGAAATTCAATTTCATCAAGATCATAAATTTCTATTTTTGTGTTTTCAAAGGGTTAGTGTTAAGATGAAATGAACTAAATGGCAATTTTGGGATTACAATGGAAGATTTAAGGGGATACATACTTCAGTAGCAAAATGGATTGCTGTGAGAGCCATCTGATGTCCACTCTTGAATTTAGAACTTCTAAGTAATAGTGTGAAGTGAACCATCTAGCTTGTGGTTTTATTATAAGAATTTATACTGAAAGAAACTCTGTAAACATTAAATCTTAAGGCTCTTGGTTTATAACTATGTTTTATTACACTAGTGCTGAGTTTGTATGCATTTAATTTATACGGTATCTGTTCAACCATGCTTCTGTACAAGGATGGTGTACTTCTGTGGTGATAAGTGTTGCGTGTCTTGTTAGTGGTTTGCAAATTAGAATGGTTCAACAGTACATTTGTGGTGAAATTTTTATTTGTGCATATTCTCTCTCTCTGTCCACATATATCTAGCTTAGAAATGCAAGGTAAATTGTCTGAATTCAAATTGTATTCTTTCCTTGGTGATTTATTTGCCACAATTGTAAAATATGTACTAGTTCTTCTGTGTATTATGTATTATATTAGTTTATTTTACTTCAGTAATACTGCACAATCTTAAATTCATCTTTTTCTCCCATTTTGATACAAGTAGCGTGCACACGGAAACAGATGAGGAGGATTCACTTGGGCAGAGGCATCATTTTCCGAAGTGAGTTAAAGTGATCCTAGTTCCTTTCTATGTAACTACGGATATACAAACTAGATTGCTTTCTGTATAATTACAAGTTAAATGATGTTTCCTTAACCCTCCTTTTCCTTGCTTTGTTTTCAGATTCTTTGTTTTGTCCTTTGAGTTCTTTAATTGTTTACGGTTCTTATGCTTTCTAGTCTTTCTTTTTCTTTTCTTTTCTCACTTTTATGGTGAGTATTGAATAAAGTATTGAACCCTTTGTTCCTCGGTATCACGTAATGTGGATGTATGCTGTTTTAGCATTAGCTCATACTCGTGGCCCAAAATCCATCATTAGCTAAACCATCATTCAGTTTTGCCTCATACAGCAAACAGATGAAGGATCAATTTAAAGAGACTGAGAATCAATTTATGTGGTCCCTTTTCTTGTTACCACCTGTGGAACTATAAATATTTATGGAGTTGGACTCTGGTGGAAACTGTTTGCGTTTATGTTGCTTAGTAATATACCAAATGGTAGAATTGATTTGGTTTTTACAGTTCAGTTTCTATTTCTTTCTTGATGTTGCTTTCTAATGTATTCTAAACATATTCCAAATGTTATACAGTTTTGATGGGCCTTTTGAAGATGTTGTATATCCAAAAGGGGACTCAGATGCTGTTTCCATCAGCAAGAGAGATGTTGATCTCTTACAGCCAGAGACATTTATTAATGATACAATTATTGACTTCTATATCAAGTAAGCTTGTGTGGATACGGTCACATGCATAATTTATATTCTTTATATTAAAAACTTGCATGTTGGGGTTCTGGATATTAGTTCCATTATGGACGACATCTATTTCTGGAACTTGGTTTTGTTAGTTTTATTAATAAGAGTTTAACGCCAAAATTAAAAAAAAATGTTGGGAGGTAATATCCCTTTCCTTGGTCTCACACGAGATATGAGAACTTTGTGCGTTTGTTAAGGTAAATGGTTTTGTATAGCTATATATGTATATATTTAGTTGCTTAGTTCTTAATATTTCACAAGGAAAATATAACTACTAATAAATTCATGATTTTACTAATAATAAAGCTAATTTAGTATTTATTTGTGTTCAAGTGACTCTTGCATACCTTAATATAAACAAATGCCTATAATCACATACTAATAATCATTTCGTTGTTAGGGGTCAGCAAATAAAGCAAGTTAAGCAACTTGGCCCATTTGTTAACCTTTTTATTTTCAGGTTGAGCTACTTAGTTTTCACTTTTTTGTTAGGAATATAGGTGAAATACAATGAAAAATGGGATGAGCAAAGGTAGAGGAAGGATGGTTGGAAAAAAGTGGAACAACACAGTGAAAATCAAAAACAAAAAACTGAAAACGATTTTAGTATGTTTTCTTTTATAATTATTGCTACTTTGATCTTCATTTCTCTCTCCTCCCTTCCTCCACCCTTCATCATTCCTTAATGCCTCCATATAGATTTCCTGTATGAAGAAAATATGAATCCTAAAACTAAAAAATGACATGGGTATCAACCGAGCCCTTACCTTCAGAAATTTATCTTTACTTTGTAATTCTTTCATCTTGTTAGTCCCACACTGTATCAATCTTCTCTACCATCAATATCCTCACCATCCTCAACAAAACCCTTGGGTTTGTTTTATAGGAACTTTTAAATTGCTAGACTTTTTTACCTGACTATATAAATAAATAATATATTGCAAGTAAATTGATATATAGATCATGGGAATGGTAGATGAAAGCATTGAGAAACTCTTAATTTTGATGTTTCTGCATTTTATGAACTGTTAATGAATTTAAAGACAAGATAATTAGAGTGCATAATGTAATGATTTAAGTTCATTGAAATACTAATACTTTGAAGTTTGAAACAGCATTTCAAAATGTAATAAATTATAATTGCTATTACCAAAAGTCAATGCTAATGCCTGACAAAGCTAATGCTAATTGCTATTGCCTTTATTAGCAATTAGAATTATAATGTGATTGTAGGTTTTGAATTTGTTTTATAATTCACCTGCTAAAATGTACTCTATTGACAGGTATCTGAAGAATCAGATTCAACCTGAGAAACGTCATAGGTACCACTTTTTCAATAGTTTTTTCTTTCGGAAGCTGGCTGACCTGGACAAAGATCCATCCAGTGTTTCTGATGGCAGAGCTGCTTTTCAACGAGTTCGTAAATGGACGAGGAAAGTGGATTTATTTGAAAAGGATTACATCTTCATTCCTATAAACTTCAAGTATGATCCCTTTGACCAAACTTTTTGACTTTTGTAATATGCTCAATTTTCTGGAGTGCTGATACATGGCTTTTGTGTTTTTAATGTCAGTCTACACTGGAGTCTAATAGTCATATGCCATCTTGGTGAAGTGCCTAAACATAATGGTAACTTTTTCTTTGATTGTGCAACGCGCATCTCAACTCTTATTCATCCCGTCATTTATGTACTTTTGCTATGTTCAGGTGGAGACTCGGGAAATTTACTTAAAGTACCTTGTATTTTACACATGGATTCTATCAAAGGAAGTCATACGGGTCTGAAAAATCTAATTCAAAGGTATCTATTAGCTATTAAAATTAATTTGTTTTATTTGTTTGTGCAGATATCTTTTTTCTTCTTTGAAAAACAGGTTTTATTGAAGTTCTTCCTTTTCGGATTTCTCTAACTATTCATGTATTCTCATGCAAAGTTTGACTTCTAAGAAGTGAATAGCCAGTTGGGATTTTGGTTGAAGCTGTAAAAGTGGGTGAGATATTGGAGAATTTGGGTTAGATGCTTCCAATAAACCAAAGGAGGAAAAAGAACAAAATATGAAATTTATGTGACAGGATCTAATTTGGACAAAATATTAGCTATAAGAAAGAGTGTCATTTCAATTGTAACTTCCCTTTGACTGGTAGAATAATGACAATTTTAAATCAATTGAAATGTTTGACCTTGGACACGCACAATATCCTTTTAATACAATTCTAACCACATAATCTCTTGACTCTTGTTATTAATTATATGAAAACTTAATGACATTAGAAATAGTCTGGTTATTGTGATATAGATAACCATGGGATCAATAATACAAGCATTAAGTTAGGTTGAAGTTTCTTATTTTTTTGGGAGGATGGACAATTGTCAAGTCAGTAGATATGGGTTGTCTAGTTTTTTAATGGGATAATATTGGATTTTGTGTGTTTCTGTTTGATGGTTTGATTTTGTGTGTTTCTAAATTGTGACATCAAAATTTGATCTTGAAATGATAGTTATCTGTGGGAAGAGTGGAAAGAAAGGAAAAAGGAGACATCTGAAGAAATCTCAACAAAGTTTCACAACCTGCGGTTTGTCCCACTTGAGGTATTGCTCCAGTTTAGTGAAACAGTTTTAGAGAGGGAAAACAATAAAGAACCTGTATTAGTTGGGTATATTTGAGTTTTATGATCATATTGTTGTGTATGCTTACTACCCTTGTGGTTTCGTAGGCCACATGGAAGAATGATTTATTAGGACACTGAAGTAGAGATAATTTGATGTATCATATATAAATGCTACCAGTTCTTGTTTTATTAAAAAGTGCTACTACCTGTGTAAGTTTTTTGTCCAATGTCCTTGTTTCATTGGCACGGGATGCCAAGTGGCGGTGTACTCGTTCCATGTAAGTTGTTTTCTAAGTGAAGGGCATTACTATCTTGAAACCACCTTTTTACTTCAAAGAAAAATATATAAAGAAATTTGTGGATATTAAGATTGTCTTTTATTTTATGGGGCCGAATTATTTTGATTGCCTGGTATTAAAGTATATGCATTAAACCATTATAGGTTAGGTTCTAGATACAGTATGGTAAATTGATCATTTTTTTAACAATAAAACTTATGAAAATGTTCTTTTCCTTTTGGTCTAATTTTTTATAAATAAATATCAGATGTATGGAATTGCTAAGATGCACGTGTGCATCTTGTGATCATTTTGTCTTTGTGTTCCTGCAATAGATATATGCTCTCTTTGTTCGTGAGATAATTTTTGTCACTTTAAAGTTTTATCATTTGCTTCCTCATTTTTTGGTGTGGTTTTAGATAAAGAAGTTTTGAATAGCTTTTCCTGATGGTAACATCTTAGCTTCTGACACTGGTTCGTGATCTTATTAGCTACCGCAACAGGAAAATTCATTCGATTGTGGCCTGTTTTTACTCCACTATTTGGAGCTCTTTTTGGCAGATGCTCCTGTTCATTTCAGCCCATTCAAAATAACCAAGTTTTCCAACTTTGTAAGTGGTCTACTTGGTCTTTTGTTTTGCTTAATTTAACTAAGTCTTTTAAATTTTATTGTTTACTTTGTTGAAATTCTTGATTTGGCATGTGAATTTTATATATCTGATACTCAACCCTAACGTTTAATATTTAAAATTGTACGACCCACCACCTGTTTGTGTGCGTACTTTGTTTTTTTCCTTATTGAAAGCATAATTACAGCGTTTACAAATTAGGGTGATGCTTGTTGGAAGCCATTCTGAGGGGAAAATCAAATATTGTTCTCTTGTTCGTTTGTATTATTAATTTGTTACGTACAAATGGAGGAGTCCAATCACTAAGCAATTTAAGAGGAAACATAGCACATTCAAAGCCATGGGATGGAAATCTCATGGTTTAAAAGACAAATGACTGAGAGTCTGAGAGCACTTCCTTTCTAGTAACTGCTGGATGAAAGCCCAACTAAGATATCATACTTTAAGCCTTCATTTGCATGTTTTCCTATTAATTGGTGGATGAAAAGTCAAACATATCAACAATTACTAGGTGTATATTTGAATTCTCGAAAGTCCTTAATGCCAAGTGTTTGAATGCTTCTGCATAAATATCTGTGTTAGTATGTTGATTTACAGTTTATGCATCACGTCCGAAGGTTGTAGGATTTTCTTTTTGGGGCTTTTAGATCCAGGTCCAAAAACATAGATGGTTTTTAAGAGTGAGTCCAATTACCTAATTATATGTATTTATTTTTTTAATGCTCATTTTATATTTTCTAAAAATATTAAAAATCAATTAAAATCTTCTAATATTATGAATTTTCAACCCCAAAAAATATAATTAATATCTTATAACAAAAAAAAATATATATATATGTATATATATTGACATAAATCTATCTGCAAATCATTCTACCCTAACTCAAGTAACAAATATATGAATGTATATCATGCCTCTAAGTAAGATATGAAACTTAACTAAAAGGTAGAAAAAACATAATATATCTACAAGCAAGACACATGAATCTTACTTGATTATAAAAAAGAATCTATCATATAGGTAGATAAATATAATTAACCTGTGACATAGGTTGATTATAAAAATAAAAAATAAAATCTATAAATGGGGTTTAAAACGGGATAAAGAACAAGAAAGAACTAAAAAAAAATAAATAATCAAAGAGATAATTAGGAAGAAATTTGATTTTTATAATAAATCTTATCATTTAATAGATAATTATTGATAATAAAATAATAAGATTTAAGGAATTGGACTTATTTTAATAAATTGGACTATTCCTACTATTGGCTCAAAAAATTGGACCTATATCAAGTTTCCCCTTTCTTTTTCTTAAATAGAAGGTCTTTTGGGTTCTGTTGCCTAACAATGAATTGGGACAGAATGAGATATTACATACAAATGTTGGAACTTTAAATGGGGTTTCTGTGCTTAAAACTCGTGCACCCTTTTCCCATTATTTCTTGTTGCCTTTTAAATATGATCCTCCTGTAATTTAATTGCATGCTTTATGTTTCAAGTTTTTGTTATGTATTATCACAATTTCTGTTGCCAGCTTAATGCAAATTGGTTTCTTCCGTCCGAGGCATCTCTGAAGCGTACTCTTATTCAAAGGTTAATTTTTGAGCTCCTTGAAGATCGTTGTCGGGGAGTCTCTTCAGCGGCTTCCAGTGATGAAGACCAGGCTAAGTTTCCAGAATGTAACAATCATGAAACTGGTGTGCAGTCTTTTTCAGGAAGATGTGGTCCTGCTATAGCTTGCCAAGAAAATATGTCAAGTTCTCAAGCAGGCCTGGGGATTGAAATTACTCTGTTATCCTCAACTTCTCTAAGGAGTTCTGAGTGCGTTAAAGATGCAGGCTTTGTTATCCAGGAACTTTTTGAGCCAGGAGCCACCCCAGGCTCACTATTTGGAGAATATCAATCAATTGACCAAAAGTCATCTTTTTGCCGTCTTAATGGAGCTGTACCACTGATGGAGGTAACATTACTCATCTTGTTCTGTTTGGAACAGTATATGTTTTACTATGAGATAGTTCAGATTGAAAAGCATGAGCATGACTAGTGTTGACTTTTGAGGCTGTTTTGAAGTTCTTTTGGGTGTTGCTTTTTAGTGCATGTGTGTGTTTGGGAGAGAGGTATTCGAAAGGCCATGTTATAGGTTTTCTTTTTATCTCTTGCTTAAAAATTACTTTAAAATGATCTTCCTTTATTTATTTATTTTTATTTATTTATGAGAAATTGGAGTATGGTTTGGTATTGCTGTGCTTTGAAAAAAAACTGCTTCTGCTATGCTGTGAGAATAAGCTCATTTTTGCTACTTCACGTTTTCAGCTTTTTTTCACCCAAAACTGTGAAAATAAGCTGTTTTTAAGTGTTTACCAAACACCTGTTATGAGCTTAGCTTTTTTCGATACAGCACTTTTTATAAAATCACCTCAGTACCAAACTAGTACTTAGTCTGACACCCAATTGGAGCTTCAGTCCCCAAACTAAAAATCTGTTAGTATTGGTCCCTAAACATGTTACAAATTGGAGCAATGGTCCTTTTGGGTAAAATATTTTAAAAGGAGTTAAGGGACGGAAGTTCTAATGGAGTTACCCAAAAGGATCATTTGTCCAAGTTGTGACAAGTTCAAAAACCATTACTCACATATTTTCAATTCAAGGATCAATGCTCCAAATATCTATTATTTTAATTTTCTTTTAACCAATAAATGCTTTGAGAATCATTTCTGTCATTATTCAGAAATCCTTGATTTATGTAGACCTGTGATGCAGCCCGGTACACTCTTTTTTTTTGGGTTCTGTTATGGGCAAAGAACTGTATAGTACAAAAGGAAAACATATTATAAAGGGATACATGATTTCATTTAAGACTGCAATACTTGCACTTAACCATTTGTTTCATAACAGGAAGACACCAAAACTGGAGAGCAGTGTGCTTTTTTGCCTACGGGAGAGACTGGTTTTCAGCAAATAACTGGAATTACATCTCAAACTTGTGACATTCCGTATACATCAAGAGCTTATGGCGTTGAGACTTCCTTTGACTCGGCACAAACGGAAAATGAAAACACGGATTTATCCCCTAAACTATCTATGTGTGTCTCTGACCATGCTGAAGATATAGAGGTCATTGATGATTATCCAGTTGGGGAAGGTTTGGGTCTGAGCCAGAAAGAAAAAATGGATGTAAACCATTCTCAATCAGTGGAAAATGTCACATGTTTAACAGATTTCCTTGTTTCTGCTCCAGGCAAGATGCAAGGCGCTTCCATTATAGAAATGGAAGGTTCTCAAGATCATGATAAGGTGTATGACGGGAATGAAAATGGAGATTCTCAAGACCCTGATGGCAACGAAAGTTGTCAAGAACATGATAAGGGGCATGATGGCAACAAAAATGGAGGTTCTGAAGACCATGGTAAGATTGATGGAAAAAGTGGAGGTTCTCAAGACCATGATGTAGTGCAGGATGCCAATGAGAATATGGGTTTTCAAGACCATGATAAGGTGCATGATGGCAATGTAAATGGAGCTTCTCAAGACCATGATAAGGTGCAGGATGGCAGCGAAAGTAGAGGCTCTCATGAGCATGATAAGGAGCAGGATGGCAAAGAAAATGGAGGTTCTCGAGACCATGATAAGGAGCATGATGGCTACGAAAATGGAGGTTCTCAAGACCATGATCTGGTGCAGGATGGCGATGAAAATGGAGGCTCTCAAGACCATGATAAGGTGCAGGATGGCGACGAAAATGGGGGCTCTCAAAACCATGATAAGGTGCAGGATGGCAATGAAACTGGAGGCTCTCAAAACCATGATAAGGTGCAGGATGGCAACAAAAATGGTGCTTCTCAAGACCATGATATGGTGCAGGAAGCAGTTCCAATTCCCTCGTGCCAAGAAAATCCTGACATACAAATGGATCAAGACTCCGATATGGTAGACAACAGGACTGTCTCATGTGATGATGTTCAAATGGCCAATAGTCCGCCGCCTGATGATGTTCTGATGCCCGAATCGCTAGAGCAACGTGCTGCAAAAAGGCTGCGGCTTACACCTCCAGTTGAAGGGGATAACTGTGTCACATGAAGCCTTGTTGAAGACTGAAAGTTGTGAGGCCACCAATGCTCTTTTGGCATTTCACTAGGCGTTTGACTTGATTGATCTGGCCACATGAGGTATGTGGGATGTATTTAGAGAAGAATACTTAGATACTAGGATGCATAATCTAAAATGTTAGTGAATTTAATTCCTCACAAAAAAAGAGATTTGATAAAATCTTAAGGGTAAGAAAAAAAAACATGGAGAAGTCACGGCCTACTTGGAGTTTTGAGGTTATGTGCATACTCTACAGGAGTAGGATTCTTTTCCCTCATTTTCCCTGGCTTCGCTTGAACTAGGGCTGGGCGTGGGTTGGAGTAGTTTGGTTTTGGATGTAAATTGCGTACTAAACCGCACGCTGCGGTTTTGCCTAAATTCCAAACCACAATTGTACCGCAACAGCTTAGAACCAAGGTTGGGGTATGGTTTGCAAATGCTGTAGTTTTTAAACCTGTCAATTTATAAGAAAATTCAACATCAAATTGTAAGTCTCATAATTTTAATTTACGATCTCACAACCTCAAAATACACCGCCTCATAACTCAAATAAGTATCCAATTCCAACCTCATAACTTGATGATGAGTTCAGTAAAATGGTAAATTATAATATAATTATACAAGAAAGTTCCCCAGTTTTATACTTTATATTATTTGTTTTAATTTTTATTATACAAAATTTATTGGGCTCTAATGATCATTTTTTGATATTTAGTTGCAAGAATGAATATTTTTTTTTTTTAAGGAAAACTAATGAAAAGGGTTTGAAAAATTTTAGTTTTAATAAAAAACCGTGTTATAAGTTTTGTTTAATGATTAGTACAAGGTCTATATTAAAGTAGTCCAACTAAAAATGGACTAATTATAATAAATTATGATTTTTTGGTTTTACCCCTAATTTTTTTAGGTTGAGCTTTAGATTTTTGTCGTTAATGGAGTTCATCGTTGTTTTGTTGACCTTCTTTTTCTTTGAAACAAAAATATAGATCCTCATGCTATTTAATTTATATTTTGTATTATTTCGTTGAAACGTGATCATTGTCATTATTCATAAAGTCTTCGAGGGTCTGTTTTTTAATTTTTCTTCGTTAGTGGAGTTCATCGTTTGTTTCTCCAGAAAATAAATTTGAGATTCGCATGTTATTCAATAATAACGACCAGTCATTGTTTCTGGATTGTAAAAGTAAACTGTTTATGGATTTTAAGTAACACTGCTTTTGGAATCTAAGTTGCTGTTTATGGAATCTAAGTCACTATTTCTTGATCCAAATGAAATAGACACACTGTTCATTAAATGTAAGTTAGAAAAGAAATAGTGAAATTTATTGTATTTGGATTCAAAGCAAAATAAGCATCATGTTTCTTAAATATAATCAATTGATGCATGAAAGAAAAGAAACAATCAAAAGTTAACACATAGACTGTTTCTGGAATTTAAGTCACTATTTCTGGATTTTGGTTCTTTTCTTTCCAGATACAGTGTTTGTTTGTGCATAGAAAAAAAAAAACAAACATTGTATCTGAAGTTTTGGTTCTTTTTTTTTTTTTTTCCTATTTACAGATGCCTGATATGTATGTACATCATTGGGACCATAGGTCCTTATTGGATCTGATTGGAATAAAATACTAACACTATAAATTGTTCATGGTGCAGATAAGAGGATGAGGATGAGGACGATGATGAGGAAGATGAGGATAAGGGCACGAAAAAGGTAGACAATAGTTTTGGATGGTTTTTTTTATTAAACTTTGAGCCATTTTGGTTAAATAACATTTTAGGATGATTTTTGGTTAAATATTTGTTGACCCAAGCCCTTTTCATTAAAGCTCTCCTTTTTTTTTAATAACGACGATATATTGATACACGACGATGAAATAGCAACACTTGATAATTTAATTTTAATCAGGCGTAATATGCGACTTGTAGGTGGATGGGAATATACAGCTTGTAGCACTACTGCATCGTCTAATAACTCAACCAATTTTTTGTCTTGAAGTTTACCACATAAAACGGGCAGACTCCACCTTCTCTCACTTCTTTATTCTAGCATTGACATGTGCTATCAGATAGCTTTATATCGGTTAAATTCACGAGTTAGAGATAAGCGGATTCAAACTGTTGACATCCGCCATAGGGTAAACTACCTGCCTCCAATCAAATTCCAAATTGAAGTCCGGTCGATGACACCCGCTGCCCGACCTTTGCCAATCCCATCGTGGCTGGTGTAAGCCCTTCCTTCTTCCCTAATCCAAGCAACGACAATATAAGGTAGAGTACCGCGTAGCTGATCTATTCGAAGCTGCCACTGACATGAGAATGATGCATACTTATTTTCATATCGGAGGAGTAGCGGCCGATCTACCTTATGGCTGCTAAAAGTTAAAGTTTCTCTTGACCTAAAGCTGCCTATGTATTCGTACTTCTTGACCAAATAGAATATGCTTCTTGCCCCAGTGGTTGATAATTTAGGTCTTGTAGATACTCGCACAGCAGCAACAGAGAGCTCATAGGCCTCATTCTTCAAATCAAGAGCGACGTAATTGCACGACATAGCCTTTTAGTATAGAACAGAGACTCTTTGAGCTGACTAGGCATAGAGGAACCACACCAATCCATCCTGAACTTGGTGGTTAAACTCTACTACTGTAACGATACTGAAGGGGAGGTCCTAGCTTTTGAGGTGCTGAACGAAGTGAAGCGGGAGACTACTACACCTCTGTTAGCTTTACCTGACTTTATTATTTGAAACATAGATTTTTTGAATCGAATGACAACCGTAATGGATGTCAGCTCAATCCGAAGGAAATTATGTAGAAGCTTTACAGGATTATTATGAAGCTATGCGATTAGAAATTGATCCTTATGATTGAAGTTATATACTCTATAACATAGGCCTTACCATCGCTCCAACGGCGGATCCATAAAGCTACTATAACTATAAGACATAAGAAGTAGAAACAAGCCTACTTGGAGCATGTTCATCTTCCTCTCATACGTTCATGGACGTTCTAAAAATGGGTATTATCGGGTCGGATGAATTAAATTCAATAATAGACGCCTGTTGGCAGTCCAGCCAAAAGTCAAACCATTTGTATGTACCACCTCTATATTCCCACTTGAGACCAGCTTTATCAAATTGTCTTAGGGCTGGTTTGGTATTGCTGTGCTTTGAAAAAAAGCTGCTTCTGCTGTGCTGTGAGAATAAGCAGCTGTGAAATAAAGCAGCAGAGTGTTTGGTAAACATTTTTGTAAAAGTGCTTTTGAAAAAAAAAAAGCAGTATTAGAGTGTTTGGTAAACTTTTATGTAAAACAGATGTGAAAAAAAGCCAGTTTTTCAAAGCTAGGTTTTGCAGCTTCTTGTTTTTGGCTTTTTTTCATCCAAAACTGTGAAAAAAAGCTGAAGCTGAGTGTTTACCAAACACAAAAACAGCTCCCAGCTTTTTTTGATAGCAGCTTTTTTCAGAATCACCTCAGTACCAAACCAGGTCTTAGTTCATCACCATGCACTACCTTAAAAGTGAATATATCAACATCATCTACAAAATCACACAATCAAATGCAGCATAGGAATTAAAAATGTAGCATAGAAAATTAGAAATTAGAGATGGATTAGTGTGATTTCAATAACATATATACAAGATTAGCATAAACCCCCAATACAACATAACTTAATCAGGCGTAGTTATAGTTTAATCCACATGTGATTATTATAATTGCTCTTTGTAGTGTAGTAGCTCTGATTTTTAAGGGTATTGCTTTGTCTCTACTTCATATGAAAATATACCTTCCAAAAAGCTACATATGGCCACACATAGAACCCTACCTCACTACCCTCGTTAAACCCTTTTAACCCAACAAACAGTTAAACAAATGCACACAGACAAGCACACAGAGACCACAAGTTTATTTTATATCCTGAGATCCTATATACAACCTGAAAAGCGCTCTTAAACAACATATTGCACAATAAAATACTCATAAAAACAAACTCCAAACATACAATAATCCCTAAAACCCACGACCCCAACCAAATCACAATCCACAAGCATAGTTTAAGGTCTAAACTCACCATAATCTGGTTGAGGAGCTCCAAGTTCTCTTGGGATTGTCATTTTAAATTCTTCTCTTATTCACAGATATTCCAATCACCATACTTATAACATAATTGCAAAAAATAAGATAAGCCGAATCTATAATTCGAAAAGCATAATATTAGGGTTAATACATTATGGCGAATTTTTCATGCAATCAAGGCTAATTAGAACATTGAAGTTAAAACCGTGTTTTAAAAGGTTCCTTGATTGATGATGAAGATTGTGAAAGGATTTGTAGAAAAATCGCCTACAACTCCAGTGTTCGTTCTTCATTGTGTTGCATCACGTCCAACATAAACATTGAAACAAGGAGTAATTAAAGTAATAACAAGTAGATCAACTTAATAAAATAAAAATTTAATCATATTAAGAATGATTGAAACATAATACTCCTCTAATTGAAGATGGACAAACTCTCTTTAGCGTAGCATCAAGAGCATGTTGAAAACATGTTATAGGCTATTTTTGGGAGAAAGAGGAAAGGGAAATCGACAGAGAAAAAAATGAAAGAAAAGAAAGGCTTGCAGAATTTTGTATTAATACTCCTCATGCCTTATGATCTTTTAGATCTCATAGAATTCTTATACATAACTTACTAGGATTTATAGAATCACAATCCTAATTAAATAAGAAAAAACAAAATTCTTCTAATTTCTTTTTTTCTTTCTTATGTGGCATTTTAAAAAAGGGTAATGCTGGTAGACTAATTTGTAAACTAAATATGACATGCAAGTTGATGATTGAATTATTACTTAAGTGTTGATTCACGTGCTTATTTCTTATTGGTGACACAACATTTGGTCTGCAAATTTTGGTCTACCTATCTTGCTCTTTTAAAAATGATTCTTAACCCCTTGAGAATTGTTACTTTACTTTTATTGTAGTCCTTTTATTTTCATATTTTTTTTTTTGGAAAAAAGACATATACATGAGCATAAATGTGGATTTCAGGCTTGTCAAGTCATCATTTAACGAATTGATAAACAATAATTTGACATTGCATTGAATTTGACTTTGCGTATGAAATTGCAATGTTTATTAGATGAGATGAGTTTGTAATGTCACTCAAGCTTGGGGTTACTGTAATTAACAAAAAAAAAAAAAAGGGCTAAGCAAGAGCACCTGAGGAGCCATTGTTATTGGAAATTGTTATTAGAGTCCAAAATTCTCATTTTATACTCTAAACTTGTTATATTTAAAAAGAAAAATACACTTGTTTTCATTATTTTTTGTGTATCTTAGATTTGTGTTTTTGAGACTTAGCGATCACTTTTATTTAACAATTTGAAAAATTTGTGCAACACTTTCAGCTTATGCTTAAATAGACTTGGCAATTTCTTATACGACCCATTAACACGACACGAAAACAACCGGTTTCGGGTCAACACGA